TTTCAGCATATTATGGGGGTACAGATGTTTAGGTTATGTATGTTATCCTTGCCCCCTCTGCCCCCCCCCCGCTATGGTTTCTTATTCACCTTGTTAGAAACATGGAGCGCTTGGGCCTGTGGGTATTTACTAGTTGCTCATTTGTCCAGGAACTCATCAAGCTTCCAGAGAGCTGCAGGGCTGTGACCCCTGGCCACCTCCCAGCAATATGTTTCCTCTTCTCATTGTCTATGAGCTCCCTAGAGTGGCTCTTTGAGACCCCTCTCTCCCCTCCAGCCCCCAGTCCTGTACCCTCAGCAGCTGGAAGATGTTGTCTAGCGTATCACTGAGAAGACTAAAGACAAATGTACCCTCATCCTTCCCTTTATTCACAGTCATGTCCTGCTGCAAAGATAATCTATTCTCCAGCGTCCTGCCTCCCCTTCTTGACTCCGGAGGCTCCCGTTCTCATCCTCCACTCCAGCGTTTTCATCTGCAGTCTGTCCTTTTCCCACGGTTCCTTCTCCATCCCACACAGACAGGGCTTCCCATTTTGGGACAGTCTGTACTTGCCCCTAACTCCTCTCTAGCTGCCTTCTGTGTCTGCCCCTCCTCCCCAAACTCGAAATTACTGGTCCATGCCTTTTGCTGCCATCCTTTCCATCTGCTTCCTCCTTAATCTGAAATCAGCTTCTGTTTCCTTCCTTCTCTTGGAATTGTCCTTGTTATTTCTGCTTCCAGTGTCCTTCAGCCTCGGCTACATTTATGCTGTCTGCCGCCGCCTCTTCCCGCCATCTCTGCGGACCGGTGTCCTGCCTTTCTTACTGCTCCTTCTTCTGACACCGATGCCTTCTTTCCTCTCTAAGGCTCCGGCCTCAATGTCTTTCTTGTCTCCCGGCACACTCCTGTTAAGGGCCCTTTCCTTGTTCTTGACTTCAAGTACCTGCCTTTATGGCAAAGACTCCCAGATTCTCATTTACAGATCTGCCGTCTCACCGCAAGTCCGGCTGCCACCTAGACCCTTCCTGTTGGGTTTCTCACCTTCATGCTAGACATGGGCTGTGTAGACAAGAACTCGTCATCTTCCACAGGCCGCCGCTCTCCCCCTCGTCACCCCTCCAGGATCATTCTGCCAGTCACAGGGACTCAACAGCTTCAAGTCACTTTGGGCTCATCTCGTCTTCTGACCCTCATGACCTTCAGTGAAAGGTGTCCTTTTTCCATCGCTTCCTCTCCTTGTAACCCAGAAACTTCCCATAGCTCTTTTTTTTTTTTTTTGAGACAGAGTCTCACTGTGTTGCCCTGGCTAGAGTGCCATGGCGTCAGCATAGCTCACAGCAACCTCAAACTCCTGGACTCAAGCGATCCTCCTGCCTCAGCCTCCCGAGTAGCTGGGACTACAGGCAAGCGCCACCGTGCCCGGCTAATTTTTTCTATATATTTTTAGTTTTCCAATTCATTTCTTTCTATTTTCAGTAGAGACGGGGTCTCGCTCTTGCTCATGCTGGTTTCGAACTCCTGAGCTCGAACAATCCGCCCGCCTCGGCCTCCCAGAGAGCTAGGATTACAGGCGTGAGCCACCACGCCCGGCCCCCATAGCTCTTTAATTCTTGGAGTTTCCTTGTCAGCCTCATCTCAGCTCCCCCTCAGGAGCCCAGTGGCTGGGCCATACCTGGTGGTCACCAGCCCTCAACACACTCCAGTCCTTCCCTTGCTTTTCCCTTCTACTACCTGCACTGCACTGCCACCTCGCCTGAGATGTTCTGCCCTCCCAGGTCTTTTGTGCCCTCTTCCCACTGCCAAAAGCTTCCCTTCCTCGACCCACCAGCTCAGATGCTGACTTCATCATGAAGCCTTCTCCGGTTCCAAGTGCATTCAGCCAGAGCCCTCCGCCTGTCTTTCTTAGTCTACATCTCTCCCAGGGACTCAGCATGTTCTGCCTTATATAGAGTTGTTGTAGCCATGCCTTCTCAACTGTAACTTCCTCAGTGGCGGACGTGTCTGTACCCCCGCAGCAAGCTGCACCATCTCTGATACGTAGTTGGTGCTCAGCAATGCCTGACACCAAATTCCCACCATTGGACTCTGACACCAGACTCCTGTCTGTCATGGTCACGTCCCTCTCCTTCACCCCCACCTACACTCAAATACAGGGATTTGAATTCTGCCTCCATAACTTACTGTGATGTGACCTTGAACAAGTTACTAGACCACTTAAAATTCTATTTCCTTCTTTCTAAGACAGGGATGATAGCACCTACTTTATAAT